TATATATATATACAATTCCAGAATAAATACTCTCTAAAATCTTTGGAGTGTAACTCTAAAGAGTAAAATTTCGCTTAAAAAGTGACAATTAAGTTCACTTTTTGTCAACAATGGCTCAATTATCACTCTTTGTCACTCTTTAAAATTATATTCCTCTTTAAAGATTTCAAAAAGCATATACACATATACTAAAAACTATTTTAAAAATATAATAATAACTGCAAAAGAAAAAATGTCGAATGTCCCAAATCATCGCACAAATTAAAAAAAAAAAGCAAATGGTAAGATTTGTTCCTTTTTCTCCTTTCAGCCAAATTTTCGAGTAATGGAGCTGCTTATATATGTCTATAATGATTTGTTTCCGTTTCAGCGCAAGCTCCTCGATGTCAGCCTGGGGTTCGCCGCTGGCGTGATGACGGCCGCAAGTTACTGGTCATTGCTGGCACCGGCGATCGAAATGGCAACCGAGAGCAAGATGTACGGAGCGGAGGGCGAGTACGCGTTCGTGCCGGTCGCAGTTGGGTTTCTCGTCGGCGCGGCGTTCGTGTACGGGACGGACGTGTTGATATCCACCCTCGGCATTCAGTCCCCCAATGTGCTTTTAGCTATGCAATCAGTCGGTACGAAACAAAGACGCAAGATCATTGCGAAACTAAAGAGTGACGAGGATTTAGACGATGATTATGATCCGTTACTTAACGACGTACAAATATCCGGCGGAAAAATGTACACTCGTGTCGAATCGACCGCTATCGATGGTATCTCATTTTCTTCTCGTAAAATCGCAGTTTTTTTTATATCTCTCTCTTTTTATAGGCTTGGAAAATGGGATCAGTTCGTGAGATGACACGTATATATTGTACATATATGCCTATATCTTTTTATATACCCTTATAAAAATTTTTCACCGTTTTTACATTTCCATAGACCATTTTTAGCCCGTTTTTAACCGTTTCTTGCATTACTCTTGAGCGCTTGCAGTGTATGGCGAAGGAACGATGACAAGTATACACGAATATACATATATTTTGAGGAGATTGTCCGTTTTTTCAATATTCGTTTTTTTTGCTAATGAATGACAACGTATATACGAGTATGCGTATAAATATTTTTTAATATATTTCCCGTTTTTAATATTTGTTTTTTAGCTGATAAATATTTTTGAGAACAATCAGCTTCGTTCAATATGAAATAGTTAAAAAGTCATACATTTACTTCATAAGAAATAATACAGGAACATAAAAACCAATTCGCAGGATGTATGTGCAACTATATATATTAAACAATTCTTTTGTACATAAAACAATATACTTTTAAGTGTAAAAACTAAATATTTCTAAATATTTCTTATAGTAATAGATAATGTAACGTTTTTATTACTATAATTTATTTATCTTAAACATAATATACGGTACTTGATAAATTAAATTTTCGATAAGTACGGCATACTCGTTATTCTAATGATCACTTATTATTGTATTACGGCAAAGTCCGCATAGTGGACAGTGTTGACATTGCCCGAGTTGCTTGTTATATTGTATAATAGGTCTGTTCTTTTTTGAAGAATTCTGGATTAATTCTGAATTAGTGCAGTAAGTTAGAGTGAAACAAATATCTGTCTCACTCTAACTTATACATTAATGTACATCAGTTCAGAACTTAGGGTGGAAAAGAACAAACCTAATATTAACATTGCCATTGATGAGATACTATTAAAGGGGGTTTCACCTTTGCCAGCCATAAAATTAACTCAGTTTTATGAATTTTTTAAAGAAAATTTATTATATACAGAACAATACGGGATTTTGCATAAAATTATCCTTAAACAGTAAAAAAATATTTTTTAATTAAATGAATTTGCATTTTAATATCTCCAAATGGCGATCGAATTAGGGGTCATCTGCAAAATACATCTCTGTGACGGAAGTAATATTGACTCTACAAATAATCTGAAATCAAAATTTTTTTCTTTTTAATTAATTATACGATTGTATGTATCGCTATGGCATGAACTAAAATAATGTCAATTGCTTGAAATTTATAAAAATGGTGGCATTAAAAAAAAATTAATTTTTTTTCCTAAAAAAATTTGTTACTTTTTTGTGAATAACAAATCAAATCTTTGTTGTAAAATTATGATTATAGTTTGTGCCATGCGCAAAAGTGTTAGGATTAAGAGAAAAAAAGAATAAGTCGATATCTTAATTCATTTTTTATCAGTTATCAGTTCCGTCAGGTCGAAAAATGTAGTTTTGAGAAAAACACGTTTTAGTTTTGAGAAAAACGCGTTTTACTTTTTCCACATATAACAAGTTTTAGTGCACTTACGATTATTCTGCAATTCCAGAGCTATATAATAATCCTTTCTCCTCTTCATATAATTTTTTCATCATCTCTTCAATCGCCAAGTTGTTCTATCTTCTCTTGATGAATCTGATATACAATTTGCGCTGATAAACGCTCAGAGGCCCCGTGTACTTTTACGTATTTGAGCTCATAACTCCGTTAATATTACGAATTTAATAAAATTCTTTTACAGGGATATTTTACACACATGTAAGAATTAAAATAAGGAAAAAATTTTTCGATTTTTTTACGCCTGCAAAGGTGAAAACCTTAAAGACCGACATTCGGGAGTTCGCGATCTTATTAATATTGAAATGATTAAGAATAAAAGACTAATATCCCGATAAACAATTTTTTGTACATTAATATGTATAAATATGTATAAACATACATCAATATTCATAAATACATATAATCATATATGAAATATATCCATACATATTCATAAATCTCTTTTTCTTTTGTTTAAAAATTATTTTTTAGTGTAATAGAAATAACAATAGTAAGGTGATAAAAAATAATTAAAGATATAATTTTGTTCGTTTTAGAAAAAACAAATTTAGAGAAATGTTAAAAAAATTGCTCATACACAATTATGCATAATTTTATATATAATTTATACATTTATATATAATTTAGACGTAATTTTTTTTTTAAATTATGATTTCAATATTATCGTCAATGTTTGATTATCAACAAAGATGATAACTGCAGAGAAAAAATTGTAACTTTTCGGCAATAATATAGGATATTATAGCTTTACAATATGCATATTTATTTATGGAGCATTTATATAATAAAAAATTATGAATTTAATAATGTATTAACCAAATATTTATAATATACAAATATTTTATATATGTGTGTGTATATATGTATATAATAGTTATATACATATGTATACAGAATTCATATATTAAATATAATTATTATTATATATAATAAATTAAAATCCTTTGTAAAATGTATATAAGTAAGTACAAAAGTTAATATCAACGTAGAAGTTATGTGAGTCAGTAGCAGAACGGCAGCCTCGCAGAGACTCGCAGGAGACCTACAGGCCTCGATTCGAATCCTGACGGAGCAAGATTTTCTCATGCTATCGGTTACGCTTTACTCAAAATTCATTATTTTAAAATATACAATGTAAGTGATTGTTGTGAGTGCTGAACGAATATTTTATACTCGTATATATGTTTTTTTACATTTTAAATTACACCTCAAATTTACACGTTTTTATCATTCAAAAATACTAAATAAATGATTATATATTACTACAACTTGGATATAGCACTCTATTTTAATCACTCATTTTTTAATTTCTACTATCTAAAAATGCAGTCATACTCAGTGGAATGCATATTTTCATCATTCAAACTAACCGCGGGGGCTAAAAACGGGCTAAAAACTGTGAAAAATTTTTATAAGGGTATATGTATATGAACGTCCACATACACTCGCCCCTCTTTGCTTTATCGCAGATTCGATTCTTATTCGGGAATAAGCATTCTCTCAAATTATTATTTTTATGAAAATTTTTATTAGATCAATCTGTTTTATACAATCAATATAAGTTATAATTTTTGCATGTAGCATGATTAAAAGTACTTATATAAAAATAGTAGTATGATAAAATTGATAAAGATGCTTGATAAAGATCATATAGATAAATCAAATTTACAATTTTAATCTGACATTTTCTTCCTCTCTTTAATAAGTTCAAGGATGAAAATATACATGTCCCGAAATTCGTGAATTAAAGTACTATAATAAGAAAATTTTCAGAAAATTAAGTAAAAAAATTATTTATAAATTTTTATTTTAAACAATAGTTTGTGAAATAATAAGAGTTAAAATATGGCCAATTACAGGCTATACTTAGATGGACTTTTAACGTTGAAATGCATGTTTACTTAAGATTAAGAAGATATCGCATGTGCGATTCACGTAACACGTAACTGTCTAGACAGAATCTGTAATTTGCTATATTTAAAATTTTATATATCAGAAACTATTCCTTGAAATAAAAATGTATATACTTTTTTCCTTGATTTTTAAAAACTTTGTTAGGATATTTTAATTCGCAAATTTCGGGATACTCTCTGTATATCTTACATACACACTAATACGAAAAAAAAGTTATATCGTTTTCTTAAGATAAAAATTCTTATTAAGTTATTAATTAAATTGAGATATATAAAATATTGATTTAAAATTCTAATATTTAAATATTATATATAATAAATTTATGCACAGATCATTGCTTATTCCAATTAAATATGTTATTAAATTAATATAGTATATTTTCCTTATAAGAAATGACGATATTCAATAGAAATTGTTCAATAGGAATAGTTGATTCGTATTTATTCTAAAAATACCTCAAGCATTGTACTAGCATATATATTGCATGATATTCGTAATAAAATACGTGGGACTTACACACAGGTCCAATATAAATATCGTAAATAAAAACAATCTAATTATATATTCGATCTAATTCAATTAAAAACAGATAAACTGAAACTATAAACCCTACAAAGAGTGATGTGATTAAAAAATGTGAAACAACGAAAACGAAACTAAAAAATACAGTTTAAATTCATCATTAATACAAAGTGCACGTCCGCGTAAAACATTATTTAATATCATACACATTTAAATAAGAAAAAATAAAATATAAACATTTTGGATCTGTGTGAACAGTTTTACGGAGTTTAAAAAAATAAACTGATCTTATTAACCCTGCCTAAACGGATTCAATTGCAGTAAATTTAATCGAAAGTATAGTATTATGTGCGTGAAGAATTCCTTTTCTTAAACCTTACACAAATAGCATTTGCATGAAGTGGTCCTGTGCTCGTGGCTCAGTTTTCGAAAATTTGCGTTGACTGGATGTGATAAATGTTGTTGTGAATATTTAATTTTTCAGGCTTCTACGAACAGAATAGTAGACGCCGACAAATTCCCAATATAAACCGCTCATCAGAATCAGCAGAAATTGGAACTGTTTACGAAGATCCCAATAACGAAGTGAAGAATAATCAATGGCGGAGGATATTACTGCTAATTGTTGCAATTACGGTATATTTCTACAAGATAATAAATAATCATGCAAAGCACACTTGTTTAGATTTGTCTTATATGATAACTATAAAATAAATAATAATATATTTGTAACATTTCGATTGTTACAAATAGGTCCACAATATTCCTGAGGGTCTTGCGGTTGGTGTAGGCTTCGGAGCAATAGGTAGTAGTGCATCAGCTACTTTTGAAAATGCAAGGTAAGTGAAAATGCCTGCAATTTTTTTTAAATAAAGTTCATGAAGACAACGAAAACTTATACTGAATACCATGCGTAATTACAGCTTACAGCAAACAAAATATTGGATTATATTATAAAAATACGCAAGGTATCCGTATATTAGGTGTACAACTTTGCTTCTGCCGTTTTCCTATAGATGGCTTTAGCGATAAGTGATGGTCGAAATAAATAGATCATAGATGTCATACAATAAACTTGGGCATCTGTCAACATAACCCTATAGAAATATTAGTCGATTAGTTGATGTGTCTGCATCATAAAGTTATTCTCGATTGAAAATGTCAGTTTACGAGCCAAATTTTCGTCATTTGCGGGAGGTTTTTTTGCTTCAATATAAGAAATCTGCGGCTGAGGCTCATCGAATGCTCTCAAATACTTATGATGAGGCCGCTATTAGTGAAAGAACGTGTCGTGAGTGGTTTCAACGCTCCAAGAACGGTGATTTTGACGTCCAAAGTGATGCTCTGTATT